CCCTTGAATGCTCTCAACGAACAAGGAAAGTCAAGAAAAATATATCTGCAGTTCACCCTCCCTCCTTTTCTGAGAAACACATACGGACAGAAGACGAAGGTCCCTTCTCCCTTTTCCTTTTATTGTGGAAAACAGCAAACATAAATCCCAAACCATCCCGAAGCACGTCTTTTAACTCACCTGCCTGTCTTGAAATGCTTCATTCTCCAAGTCCAGACTCTCCCACTTTCCTTCCTAAGGCTCCTGCGCACAGCCTGAATACTTTGATTGTCTTTTGCCAAGCTGTGACGTATACACCCACTTACATATTCCCTCTAAACATCAACAAGCTCCATCCCGAGACAAAGTGGTCAATTTATTACTTTGAAGGGGTTCTCTGTGCGCAGGCAAGTGTGGCATTAACCACACACTTCAGCTTTAGCTTCGCCTTGTAAACTCTGTGGCAGATAAGTGATTTCTCTTCTGACGCTGGAATTAGGTCTTCGTGTGTGGCTGCACCACAAGGCTGGCTGGCTTCACCAGCAATAATGATGCATCTGACTAGAGAAAGGAATCATCACTGGGAACTCCTGAATGGGATTTCTAATCTCTGGATATTCAGTTTGCACACCTCTACAATGCATATTTCTTTAAAGCCACAGATGGCAGATAGATAGATAGATAGATAGATAGATAGATAAATAGATAGGGCTGCTGTGATTATGCTGAAATTCTATGGATGTACAGAAAAAGCCACCACATGTGGCAATGGACACAGAAATCAGCCTCCTTCAAATCTCAGGTGTCTTCCTCTTCTATTTTTTTAAGGGGAGCACAATTCTAGCCCTTATAGCTTTGAAAATATGCTTGAATGGGTGTCAGCAATGGCTGCAGAAATCTGAGTGGCCATTGCTTACTGGTTGGCAAGGCACTGAGAATCCACAAAGCTGCCTTGAGGGAGCAACCAGAGCTCAATCAGGGCCAAATTACATGTTACATGGGAGAGCTATGGTCAGATCTTGACGGTTTTAAAGCAGACACAAGGATTCTGGATTTGAACCCACTAGGGAAAAGGGATAGGTATGTAGACTGTGCCTATTTCCTCTTGGCGTGGGGCTAACACCACCTGACATGGCAAATGGTAAAGAGTGAACACACCTCCAGGCAGTGCTGATTCTCCAATCAAATTTGGAGTCCCACCTACAGCTGTTTCGAAATGAAAATAAAAACATGGGGAGACCCACTGACAATTCTACCATGTAGTTTTCAATCCTGTTGCAATCCTCTGCATGGTGGGATCTCTGCGTAAGAACACAAGAGAAGCCCCTGCTGGATCAGCCCAAAGAACCATCTAGTCCAACAGTCTGTTCTTATAGTAGCCAAGCTTACAAGCCCTGGACCTGTTTTCTCCATATAGAGATTTCCCACAGTGAAACTGATGCATGAGGAGGAGACAAGAAGCACTGGCCCAAGAATGTAACAGAGAGAAGTCAAGAGCAGGCGCCATCTTCTTCTGTCACTGTTGGTGTTAGCAATTCTTCCTTCTCATACTGTGATCTCTCTGCCCAAGGAGAAACAGCAAAGGAAGCAGCAGGAGCAGAGGCAAGGATGGGGTGTGCTTTCATGCACACCTGGACTTGCTTGCAATGTTGGTGAGTAGTTATGGTGACTTGTCCAGACCACAAATGGTGTTCATGGGCTGCAAAGAATGCCTGGCAATATTTGGTCAGGGAGGCAGGGAGGTTGGGGCCAAGCTAGAGTTGCAGGACCTTGGATAGCTCCAAGCAGACAGATTGCTCCAATGAAGTCTGGAGCTCAACAGAGGCCTTTTATCCTTCTTAGATCAGTCCACCCCTCCCAGAATGTGTCATTTTCTTGAAGAATGGAGCCTTAAAAGCAGGGATGGGGAACATGTGGCCCTTCCAGAGTTGTTGGACTCCAATGTCTATTATCCCTAGTCATTGGCCATACTATCCAGGACCAGTTGGATCCAACAACAACTGTAGGGCCACATATTCCCCCTCACTGATTAAAAGGGCAGTCCTGTGTCTTGGAGAACCCATGCCTTGCGTTTTGCCTACAGTGATGAGGAGATATGGGTGAGCATGAGGCCCCTGCTATAAAAGCAACTGGTTCCTTAGGGGCTGGTTTGTCATTATGATATTAAACAGCCCCTATTATTACTGTTACTTTGTTCCACCTTTTTAAGACTTGGCATAAGCTGAAAGGGCACATTACTTTCAAGACATGGTCACTGCTGACCAACAAATTCTATCTCTGCATGACATAACAATGCACACAGTCTGTTCTCAGTAGCCCACCAGCAACAGCCAATGATGTGGAGTGGAGTGGAGTGGGGGGACCCTGAGTACAATAATGCCATGTTTGCTTTAATGAGAAATTATAAGAGAAGAAGATGAAGGCCTTTGTCAGCCATGCATCTAAAGTGACATTTGGTTCCAAGATACAAAAGGATACTCATCTTAAGTTGAGGTCATAAAAGGGTTTTTGACACTATTTCTCTTTCGGTTATCAGCTTTGGGTGGAGACAAAGATGGATCATGATACAACGGAAAGGAAAGAGGCACATTTATATAACTTCTAATTGCTGAATATTGCTGCTTTCTCCTGTGATAACTCTGCTCTGTGTTAAGATTCCTACTCATTTCTACATCACTTTTTAAGGCAGAAAATGCTGTTCTTAGTTTTATTCTTGTGACAGTCTTGTGAGGCAATTTTAAGATGAAAGGTAATCCACTTTTTCACACAGCTGAGCAGGAAGATGAACCTGGGATTGGGAAAGTGATATCCAACCTCTGTATGCTGTATTCAGGGAATAATACTGACTTGAAGCAATACGACTATATATGTTCCAAATAATTTGTCTCTCAGAGCAGATGGAGGGGAAAAGGCAAAAGAGGATGCCAACCAGAAGCCATAGTGGGCTTAATGCAAACACTTTTCCACTATGGAAACTGGCTGTACCTCAAGCTGTCAAAATTCATTCCAGGGTTATACTGCTTTTGCTGTTCGGCAATATGGCATCCCATTGCCGCCACATTTCCAATCTCAACAAACAGGTCAGAGGCTGATTGAATAGTGGATCTTTTATAAAGACTCTGAAAGGAAAGTGGGGAGGCTTTCCTGATGCCTCAAATCAAGCCCCTTATAGCAAGGAGAATCAAGCTGCAATTATTTCTAAATTTTCACCCATACTTATAAACATGCAGTTTTGTGCAAATCTGTAGCATCTTTGGCCTTTGTTTGGGGAGAAGCATACTTGAGTCTTGATCTTAGACTTTCTATGGCAGCAAACAGAACAGCTCAGAGGGGAAAACAGGAGGAAACAGGACAGCATGGGCAGGGTTAAACGTGGTGCAGGGGGTATTCCAATCACCACAGCATCCTGAAGGTTGGCACAAACCTATACACTGCCCTGAGATTTTTTGATGAAGGGTGGTATATAATAAATCTAATCTAATCTAATACAGGAATAACTTGTTTGAAGAGGAATCAGAGGCAGCCCTACCATTCAGCATGAAGGGGGGAAGATCATGCTGGAACAGCTCAGTTGGTAGAGCATGATACTCTTAAACTCAGGGTCATGAGTCTGAGACCCATGTTGGGCGAAAGATTCCTGCATTGCAGGGGGATGGACTAGATAAGCCTCCTGGGTCCCTTCCAGCTCTACAGTTCTCTGATTCTATTATAAAGGGAGCCAGGAATTGGTGTCTCAATGGTAAAACAGTACTGCAGGAGTACTTTTGGGGGGGGGGGCAGCATATGTCCCCTATCTATGCTACAAGTTGTTTGGCTTCATACCAGTGCAACTGCTGTGTCTTCCCTCCAATAGTCCTGGGAGTTGTAACTTGGCAAGGTGCTAAGAATCTCTTTTTTTTAGAGATCCCTGATCTTAATATACTTCCCAGGGTTCCTTTAACCCTAGAGAAAAGGAATTAGTATTAAGCCAGAAAAAAATCTGTAAGAAGATATACATATGTGGGATGTAATCCACTGGGAGCAGTCCAGTACAACATTCCTCGTTTTCCTAGAGTGGACATGCAAAGGAATGTTTGGTCCAGCCAGCCAGACTTCCCGTTCCTCCTGGCTTGGAGCAGCCTTCCTTGCATGTGACTAGTGGGTGGGCATGACCTTTCCAGACCTGGTAAAGGGACAAGGCATGCTGCCACTCTCTCTTTTTTCCATTTTCTTTTTGTCCTGCAAACTACCTGGAATGAACTGCTGGCTGCCAGCCAAGCAGTCCCCCAGGTCATCTCCCTTATGGGATAAACCTGTTAGTATAAGTTTGTAACTTTAAGACTAAAGCCTGCCTTCAGGGATCACACTGTGCTCTGCCTGATCGTGAATAAACTTTCTTTTTATTGCTTATGAATAAGACTGTAGTGTCTTTTTTCTTTTAGGAGGGATTCAAGGGGTCTTACCAGAAAAATATTAGAACACATTTCAATCTGGACAAGCCAGATTGAATTGTGAATTGTCTTAAGAAACTCACACGGGTTTGCAACTAGTTTTCCGCTGTGTAAAGGGGAATGCACTCTGCTAAGTAAAGGAACTTGCTAACGCAAGTTAGGAAGGATATTAATAAACCATATATCTTCTCCTGCCACCCTGAACATTCCCACAACATATTCCCTGAGAAGCAGTACGTCAGAATGGCCCTTCCCTACATACTACGTACTTCACATGGATGCTCCTGCAATTATGACGGTGCAATGCACAGATATCTTACAGAGTATCTGAAATTACAGTGAAAACCAGGCTTGATATGACCAATGGTTCAATCTCGTGTCTACAGTAGTTTCATAACCAGAAACAAGTGGTTCATTCCCAGGTTTCAGCACAAAAAGGGGCAGCGGAGAATTGGAAGCAATGTGCAGAGTGAGCATAGGAAGCTGCCTTATGCTGAGACAGAGAGCATTGGTCCATCTAGCTGGGTACTGTTTACAATGATTGAGAGCAACTCTCAAGGATTTCAGATAGGGGCCCCTCCCAGTCTACCCTGCAGACGTTGGGGATTGAACCTGGGGCCTCCTGCATGCAAGGTAGATGTTCTCCCACTGAGCTATGGCCCTTCTCTGTGCTTCTTCCTTATCATACCACAACCACAATGAAAAACACCACACCATCCATGCTTGCTCCAAATAAGCTGTCGGATGCTGCATGAATAGACACCTTTCCGCCCATGATGTCTCAGGTCACTAAGCAGCGATCCATCACACTCCATGTTCTGTCTTTGATGGTGTTCCACAAGGCTTAGTGAGTTAATTGTTTGGAATGCAGCAGAGTCCTCTGGGTGTAGTGCATGAGTATCAGTGCATGAGGTAAGCACTTCAGTGCTCTTCCAGGACCAAGCATATCTGGGAGAACTTTCATACACAGCTGCAGCAAAGTTCTGACAGTTTATTAAAAGCCCCATGAGCTTGTGAAAAATGGCCTCCTCCTGAGCACGCTCCCTAATATCTGCAACTATTACAGTAGACGTTTGTTCAGGTTCAGAGGCAGCTGGACTCTGGACATGAGTTGCTGGGGGCAAAGCAAAGTGAGGCAAGCATCTGGTTGGCCACTGTGGAAAGGAGGTGTTGGGCTAGAGGGGCCAGGAGAGGGGAATCTTTTGTGTCTCAATGCCACATTACCTCCTGGCCAACTGACTGGCGACCATGTGCCAACTGAGAAAGGTGCAAGGTAAGGGAAGCTGTGGTGCATTGCTGTTTTAAGGTGCTCCAGGTGTCTTAAGGCAGTGGATCCTGGCATAGCTAGCTTGCCTTGTCTTTTCTAACAGATTCCCAGTCTCTTCCAATGACTGTAAGTGCTCTGCCCACCTCCCCCTTCAGCTACTGCAGAGAGCCTGGGATCTTCCAAATATTGCTGACAACAGATAATAGATCCAGTAGGGTTTTTCATTATGTTCTTAAACTTCCTTATCCAAGCCTCATTTATTCTAGATTGTGTCCACACATCTGTTTAGTTTGCAATCCCACTGGGAAGCAGTGTAAACAGGACATTAGCCATACCTATCCTGTGCTATCTCCTGAATTTGAGGTGGTACACCTCTGAATACCCGCTGCTGAGAATCACAAGTGGAAAGAGTGCTCCCACACGCATGTCCTGCTTGCAAACTTCTTAGAGGCAGCTGCTTGGCCAACATGAGAACAGGATGCTGGACGAGATGGGCCTTTGTTCCTATCAGGGTCAGCAGTAGGGTGGTAGGGACAATCTCCCAGGAGCATCCAGTTTTGGAGATGAAATAGCTTATGTCCTTTGCTAGTCACATATCCAATTGCGGCTCATTGTCCCACACAATGTACAGTGGTGCCCCGCAAGACGAATGCCTCGCAAGACGAAAAACTCGCTAGACGAAAGAGTTTTCCGTTTTTTGAGTCGTTCCGCAAGACGAATTTCCCTATGGGCTTGCTTCGCAAGACGAAACGTCTTGCGAGTTCTTGCGAGTTTGTTTCCTTTTCTTAAAGCCGCTAAGCCGTTAATAGCCGCTAAGCCGCTAATAGCCGCTAAGCCGCTAATAGCCGTGCTTCGCAAGACGAAAAAACCGCAAGACGAAGAGACTCGCGGAACGGATTAATTTCGTCTTGCGAGGCACCACTGTAATGGCGAACACTGAACTGAGCCGGCACTGATACACATAGGTTTGTCCCTGTTATCTGTGTTCCCTGCCTTGGCTTCACTCCATTTACAATGCTAGAATGTGATGAAGTCTTGAGCTTTTAAAAACATGATAGAAAGAAGATTTGGAACATGGCACTGTATATTTATACAGTCAAAATAAGTTGTTTTACACCAATTCAGACCATTAATCTATCTAGTTCAGCAAACTCTGGCAATAGCTCACCATGATCTCAGATGAGGGACTTCCTCAGAACTACTCTCTAATAGCTTTTTAACTGGAAATGCCAGGGATTAAATTTGGTAACTTTTATGTGCAAGGCATGCGGCTCTACCACCAAGCTGTGGTCCAAGGGTGGGGAACCTGTAGCCCACTGGAAGCTGCTGAACTACAATTTCCATCATCCTTGACTACTGTGAATTGGGCTGATGTCCAACAACAACTATATGGCCACAGGTTTCTAGGCTGTGAAGACACTGTACATGGCTACCCCCAAAGAATCCTGGGAACTGTAGTTTACCCTCACAAAGTTACTTCCCAGCACTCTTAAAATACTTCAATTCCCATGATTCTTTGGGCAAAGTCATGTGCTTTAAGGTATGCTCTGTATGCAGCTCCCCTCTTGCTCTAGTCCCTCCCATAAAGAGTAAAACAGCTGAAGCAGGCCTTCTAGCCCAGTTTTTACTACTTCGGGGACTGATCCTAGCACCTTTTGTTTGCGAAATATGTTCTCCACCCCTGAACTATAGCTCCTTCTTAATAAAAAGCAAGCTAGTTGAGCAGGCTTACCTGGAGTCTTGGCGTGGCAAGACCAAGTGCAAATGTTTTGCAGAAACCTGAAGTCCAGTTTCACAGCATATCTTTGCTCCTTTTGAAGATCTGCTAAAAGCCAGGAGACCGAGATCATAGAGTCATACTCCTAGAAGGAACCAAAAGAGATCATCATGTTGCAAAACTGAGCTTTAGAGTTCTGTGAGATGTTCTCAGAGGTAAGAGATCCTGTTGGGCCTTGTTTTATTGACATCCCAAGATGCACCATGGTTGGATACAAGAGAAAGAGCTGCCTCAGTAGTGTTCACAAAACACGAATCGCAGGCGATTTTTTATATCTGTGTGAGCTGTTACCCAACAGGGAGAGGCTGTCGTGCGTTTACTCAGAAAGTAATGGAATTACTTTTTTAAAAGGAATTCCATTTCTAGAAACATAAGGAAATACTGGGATTGTTTATTCATGGAGCTTTCCCTGAGCAAGACTTTAGATTCCAGTGAAATTCAGAAGACAGAACAAGTTCTGGAAAAGCAGCACAGCGGAATAGTTTTCTTCCTAAATTAGCATTCCCACACGTGTGCACAAGTGGCATTAATAAAAAAAGAACCAAATGAGCCCATGAACACCAAATATTAGAACAGAATCAGACCAGTCTATTTACATGGAAGAATGAGAGCCTAATTCTATTTTACTTAGTCATTGCAATTATTTGGTATTTTGCTCTTCAGTGCAAGGACTTCCAGAGCAGCTTGCAACAATTAGGGCTCATGTCTCCTTTATGCTCTGTTTCTCCTCTGTTTGGAACTTTGATGCTCTGAGCCCATTCACATGAAGTAGTGGAAGAAAGGGGAGAGACCTGGGATTAATGAAGGCTGCTTCACACATTATGAATTCTGCTGCACGCAGATGCCACATGCGCCCAAAATATTGTTCTGCACAGCTTTCAGGAGGATTCTCTTTCCATTCATGCTTGTAATGATGACAGATACCTAAACATACTGTTATGGCTGCTAAATGATATGCCCGTTCTTAGGTCAATTTACCAGTTAATAGCCTAGGACGCTTGGGAGATGTTTCCTAAGTGGGAGTTAATACTTAGGAAACGGTTGGAGGTTTCTGTTCTCAATGGCAGAGTTACCCACTGCTGCAGTTTTCCAGACATTTGACTTAAAGATCTTATGCCTCTTCCCTTTAAATGGTAACGTATAGTCCTGGTACATCTGGGGCCCCTCCTGCTCATTCTGCTGAGTGGGGCACCGGGCTTCTCTGTCAGCTGCAAAGTTCTGCTCTGATGCACCACTGCAGCTACCAGACCTTGGGAGGGAGTCCTGAGTGGCACAATGGGTCAGTGCATCTGGCTGTTAACCAAAATGGTTGGTGGTTCAAGCCCAACCAGGGACGGCTGTGGACAGGATTCTTGCATTGCAGTGGGTTGGATTAGATGGCCCTCGGGGTCCCTTCCAATTCTACAATTCAACTATGAGTAAACACCCCAGCTGAGGAGAAATGCTTGATTCATTATTTGTTTATTAAATTTGTGTCCCATACTTTCTCCCGAAAGAGCCCAGGGGGCAGCAAACATCAAAATGTTAAAGCAATACAATTTGCAATAAAATATAAACATATTCAGAACATTTAAACCACAATGGCATTGCTTCTCCAGGGTCTTGGGCCTTCCTCACCAATGCTACACTTCAACGGATGATATATCAAGAACTGAATCTTGGCCCTTTGCATTAGAAACATGTTTTGCACCAGTGGACTATGGCCTTTTTGTTTTTCTTTCTTTTCATACATTTAGATTGTACCTTTCTTCCATCATGGAACCCAAGGTAGCGTTTATTACCAGATCCTGACCTGCTTAGCTTCAGCAAGAGTGGGGGCCCTATGTGCTTTTAGACCAATATAGTTGGCGCTGTGGGTTAAACCACTGAGCCTCTTGGACTTGCCGATCAGACGGTTGGCGGTTCAAATCCCCACGACGGGGTGAGCTCCCGTTGTTCAGTCCCTGTTCCTGCCCACCTAGCAGTTCGAAAGGACGTCAAAGTGCAAGTAGATAAATAGGTACCGCTCTGGCGGGAAGGTAAACGGTGTTTCTGTGCCCTGTTCTGGTTTGCTAGAAGTGGCTTAGTCATGCTGGCCACATGACCTGGAAGCTGTACGCCGGCTCCCTCGGCCAATAAAGCGAGATGAGCACCGCAACCCCAGAGTCGGTCACGACTGGACCTAATGGTCAGGGGTCCCTTTACTTTACCTTTAGTTTCACTGAATGACTATAAGCAGCCAGTCCAGGGCATAAATAACTTATCTGCTCCAAACCTGACTGCAGTCTCAGCAGAGGCAGCAGCTCTCACCTTTCAGCAATGCATTTGGCCTAAATCATTATCTGGAACAGGTCATACTTGATGCTCCGTTCCTGACTATCCTTAACTGCACGCTTTGAAAGCCGATGCTCTGTGAAAGACCTGGAGTGTGCAGAAGGAAATGGCTGCATTTCCTTCAAGGAGCTGTAGAGGTGGACATCAATCTTCATTAATTCTGACACAAGGGGGCCTTCTTTCCACTCCCTCGTTTTTTTTAAATAAATATTTATTAAGGTTTTCACAATATTACAAAATGAAAAAAGAAAAAGAAGAAAAAATACAAAATAAAAATAGTTAAAAACAATTCAATCTTTCTATCACTTATCTTTCATTTGCTTGTTTCCCGGACCTCCTCATACCTCCCTTTTTTGTATTCCAGTTCAATTTATTAGTTCAGCAATTCCTTTCCCTCCTTAATTTATCCTGATCTTTAATCTTAATATATTATAACATTAAATTTTTACCTGTTAAAAATTCATTTTTTCATATTCTTTTATACCATTACAGCTAGAAACCACTTAACTTCAATCCAACATCATTCTAGCATTCATTAATTTTGCAGCATTTCTGTAAATAGTCTTTAAATTTCTTCCAATCTTCTTCCACCCACTCTTCTCCCTGGTCTTGGATTCTGCCAGTCATTTCCACCAATTCCATGTAGTCCATCACCTTCATCTGCCATTCTTCCAGAGTGGGTAGGTCTTGTGTCTTCCAATACTTTGCAACAAGTATTCTTGCTGCTGTTGTGGCATACATAAAAAAAGTTCTATCCTTCTTTGGCACCAATTGGCCGACTATGCCCAGGAGAAAGGCCTCTGGTTTCTTCAAGAAGGTATATTTAAATACTTTTTTCAATTCATTATAGATCATCTCCCAGAAAGCCTTAATCCTTGGGCACGTCCACCAGAGGTGAAAGAATGTACCTTCAGTTTCTTTACATTTCCAACATTTATTATCGGGCAAGTGATAGATTTTTGCAAGCTTGACTGGGGTCATGTACCACCTGTATATCATTTTCATAATATTCTCTCTTAAGGCATTGCATGCCGTAAACTTCATACCTGTGGTCCGTAACTGTTCCCAGTCAGCCATCATTATGTTATGTCCAACATCTTGTGCCCATTTAATCATAGCAGATTTCACCGTTTCATCCTGAGTATTCCATTTCAACAGCAAGTTATACATCTTTGACAAAATCTTAGTTTTGGGTTCTAACAGTTCTGTTTCTAATTTTGATTTTTCCACCTGGAAGCCGATTTTCTTGTCCAAATTATATGCCTCCATTATCTGATAATAATGAAGCCAGTCTCGCACTTTGTTTTTTAATTTCTCAAAACTCTGCAGTTTCAGTCTATCTCCATCTTGTTCCAAAATTTCCCAATATTTCGGCCATTTGACCTCCATATTGAGCTTTTTCAGAGCTTTCGCTTCCATCGGTGACAGCCACCTTGGGGTTTTGTTTTCCAATAGGTCCTTATATCTTATCCAAACATTGAACAATGCTTTCCTGACAATATGGTTTTTAAATACTTTATGTATACTTTATCATACCACAGATATGCATGCCATCCAAATACATTGTTAAAACCTTCTAAATCCAAAATGTCTGTGTTTTCAAGAAGCAGTCATTCTTTCAACCAGCAAAAAGCTGCTGATTCATAATAAAGTTTAAGGTCTGGCAGGGCAAATCCACCTCTTTCCTTTACATCTGTTAGTATTTTAAATTTTATTCTAGGCTTCTTGCCCTGCCAGACAAATCTAGAAATATCTCTCTGCCACTTCTTGAAACAGTCCATTTTGTCCACAATTTGCAATGTTTGAAACAAAAACAACATTCTAGGCAATACATTCATTTTTATCGCAGCAATACGGCCCAGCAGTGAAAGCTTCAAATTTGACCAAATTTCTAAATCTTTTTTCACTTCAGCCCAGCATTTTTCATAATTGTCTTTAAATAAATTCCCATTTTTTGCTGTCATGTTAATCCCCAGGTATTTCACTTTCTTAACCACTGTTAAACCTGTCTCATTCTGAAACCTCTCTCTCTCTATTGGTGTTAAGTTTTTCTCTAAAACCTTGGTTTTTGACTTATTCAGTTTAAACCCTGCAACCTGACCAAATTCTTGAATCAGTTCTAAAACCCTTTTGGTACTAGATTCTGGCTCCTGTAACGTCAATACTAAGTCATCTGCAAATGCTCTCAATTTGTACTGTTTGGCTCCGACTTGTATACCTTTAACCAACTGGTCCCTTCTTATCATATTCAGCAAAACCTCCAGGACCGATATAAAAAGTAATGGGGAGATTGGGCAACCTTGTCGTGTCCCTTTTTCTATCTTAAATTCTTCCGTCACCACATTATTTACAATTAATTTAGCCTTTTGTTCAGAATATATTGCACCTATACCGTTTTCAAAACCTTGGCCTACCCCCATACCCTGCAAGTTCTTCTTCATAAAACTCCAAGAAATGTTGTCAAAGGCTTTCTCCGCGTCCACAAATATTAAAACTGCTTTAGTATTTATATTCACTTGCAATTTTTCTAAGATGTTGATTATGTTTCTCACATTATCCGATAGATGTCTACCTGGGAGAAAGCCTGTTTGGTCTTTATGTATCTCTTCCAGTAGCACTCTTTTTAATCTTTTAGCCAAAATATCTGCAAAAATTTTGTAATCCACATTAAGCAGTGATATGGGGCGGTAGTTCTTAAGCTGCGTCTTTTCAGTCTCTGTTTTCGGTACAAGTGTAATATACGCTTCTTTCCACGACTCTGGTGCCCTTTTCCCATCCATTATTTCATTACAGACTTCCTTCAAAGGTTGTACTAGCCATTCTTTTAAAGATCTGTAGTATCTGGAAGTCAGTCCATCCGGTCCTGGAGATTTACCTAGTTGCATATTCTGAATGGCACCTTCTATCTCCTGTTCAGTTATTTTATAGTTCAACATTAGTTTATTTTCTTGGGAGATTTTTTGTAATCCATTTGTTTTCAAGAATCGATCTAAGTCAATTTCTTTCTGTGGCCCTTGTGTATATAGTTGTTTAAAGTATCTCTGGAAACAATTTCTGATTTCAGCTGGGTTCTGTATATTCCTTCCTTCCACTTCTAGATTAGTAACTGTATTTAATTTTTGTCTTTTTTCATTTGCCAAGCCAACAATTTCCCACATTTATTAGCCGACTCGAATGTCTTTTGTCTCATTTGTTTGATTTTCCATTCTATCTCCTGATTCATCATTTTCATGTATTGTACTTGATGTAACTTTATTTCTCTCAAAATCTCTTGCGACTTTGGTTTTGCTCTCAATTTCTTTTCACTTTCCTTTATTTTCTCCAAAATTTTATCCTTCTTCTCATTTTGGGTTCTCTTCTTCAATGCATTCTGTTGTATTAAGAACCCTCTCATAACAGCTTTACTTGCGTCCCAGATTACTCTTTTATCCACATTGGTGTTCATGTTTATCTCAAAATAACCTCTCAAGGTTTTTTGGGCCTTCTTAAACACTTCTTCATCTCTAAATAAGGTGTCATTCATCCTCCATCTGAAGGAACCAGTTGGTATTAGTTTCATCTCCATCTTTACAGCATTATGGTCGGAGCAGGTTTTTGGGCAGATTTCCGCTTTTCTTATCTTTGGTGCCATTCCTCTAGTTACCCATATTTGGTCAATTCTTGTCCATGTCAATTTGGCTTCAGAGAAGAAGGTTCCTTCTCTAGCTAGGGGGTTCTTTGTTCTCCAGATATCAACTAAGTCCAAGTTGTCTGTCATCTCAAAAAAAGTTTTCGGTAGTCTGCCGTCCTTAGTGACTACCTGTCTTTGTGCCTTATCCATGTGTGTAGATACCACTCCATTCATGTCTCCCATCAAGATCACATTATAATCCAGATAGTCCATCAATGTCTCATGCAACTTTTTAAAAAATTCAGATTTCCCCTCATTTGGTGCATACTCCCACTATCAAAAAATTTTCTCCTTGTGTTTGAATTTCAATTGCCACAAATCTTCCTTGGTCATCTTTGAAGATAAATTTCGTT